TCGATCTGCAGATAACTTGATGGCAATTGAGATCAAAAAGACAGTATTTTAACGTAAGGTGCTGGACTCCCCCAGGGATAAGGAAGAACGTTATGACCGTTCATCTTTCTTGATCTTTTCCATGGAGGGTGCCTATGTTATGTGAACATAAAAATAACTTTAATTCTTCACCACTAAGCTCTAGTGAGAGCAACAGTCCTTACAAAGCAGGAGCTTCTGCACATCTGCCAATACTGCAAAATTTGGGGAAGAAAATAGGGATGTGCCTTTAAATTCCATTCATAGACCAGGGGAGAGTTTTGGAGGGATGGAGAGGCCAGTATGTGCTTTTGTGTTGGCTGTCATTCTGGCGGACACAGCAGAACTTGAACTGGGGACATCCAGAGCTAAACATTTGAGTCTTTACAGCTTGAGCTAAAAAGCCATGTTTTGTAGCCAGGGGCTGTAACAGATCCATGTCCTCTGTGGAGCCTAAACAAAGGGAGATGCATAGCAAACATTGACCAGTGGGTTACGCACATTGTGTGTTTTGCTTTCTTTAAAAAGTCTAAAGGGGAACAAATCAGGCCAAGAAACCCATGACTCCTATAGCACAAGGTCTTGGTGTAGGGGATTGGCTTTCTCTACTGCTCTTCCTTCGCCTACCCACCGGACAGGAGGGGATGCAGTGTGGGAAGGGAGCAGGGCTGAGAGACCCGTGAGAAAGCCGGAACCCATCCCTAGAGAGCTAGATGCGTGGAAGGAGTCTTCTACTTCATTCCTGTAGCCCCACTACAGGCTTCCCGGACTACGGTTAGACTCTGACTCCTCCCAGGGTGGTCAGGGAGGTCACGGGCGGGGGAAAGCTGCTTAAAGCAGCACTAACTTTCTGCTATGTTTCCTGCCTGCGCTCCGTGGTTTCCATGGTGGTACGTGCTATTGGTCATGGTCGATCTCTGAGACATCTTCATGGCTGGCCCCACCTTGTTGCCTACGTGGACATTGTGCAGAGGGGCATTCGGTGGTTGTGTGGAAAAGGGACGGTAGATTTTTAAGTGACAATGGGGTCCTAGCAGTCATCTGTGGGGGTAGTAAATGAGGTCTTTTCAATGCATCCACAATGCGTTCATGGCTCACAGCTAGGGCACCTAGCATAATAAGCAGGAATAGAACTACTTTTACCTCCCACCTTCAACGAAGGTGTTCTTGAGGATTAAGTGCTGCGTCTCATCTGCAGTCTGAGCTAGGCAGAGTTCCCAATGAAGTCAAGGATCCTGTATATGCACTGCCACATCGGGCTCCTGTTTGTAAATGATTTTCAAACTATGAAGCACATCCTGAGAGTGAAATAGAGTGTGACTGAGGGGGCCAGTATGGGTTAAAATAATAATCTGTCTGGATCTTCATGCAGATCTCAAACCAACTCCAGCCTGAGCCTTTTTCAGCAGTTGGGAAAAGTGTGATCAGCAGTGTGTGTGTGTGTGTGTGTGTGTGTGTGTACACACAATGTGTGTATCTATGTACTCCATGTACCTGTTGAGCAGCTCCTGGTTTCAGATGGGACAGGAACTGAAAGTAACGTACAGAGAGGGATTCTGTGCCCAGGCAAAATGAAAGAGTTCCAAAAGAGAATCTCTCGAGAAAGCCAGACTTGATACAGGTCAGTAATAAGCTCAGCGTTCAGCAGAAACTGTTTGCAGGATCAAGCCCTCAGCCAAATCTCGCTGGACAGAAATTCTCCTGAGGGCAGGCTATGCATGCAGACTTTTGGATGCTTACCAGGACTTGCTAGTGGACTACATAGCCTCACTGTAAGAGTGCGTGCTCCGCACGCAGCCCTGGAGATGTGCTTCCCCTTCGTTTTCTCTGATTGACCATCCAGATAAGAGCCTGGGCAACACTACACAGCACTAACACACTCTCTCTCTTTAACGCTTGAATCAAAACACTGATTGCATTTTTGGGCCCAGCTCCCCAATGTGTTGTGCATCGTCACCAGAAACACATGACCCATGTTTGTAGCCTACTGCACAGAGATATTTACTAAATTAGACTTTGCCAAGGGGTTGAGAAATATGTTTTCATTAAGAAAATTAAAGTGACACGTCCCTGGATAGCATGTTAGTCGCATATTTTTTTAATGCCAAAATGCAGCAGCTAATAATAATGATGAAATGTCCATGCAGGGCCAGAGTTAAAAACTGATACTCAATGCTTTCCTGGAAACAAATGCCGAGAGTTGGCAGATGCCACTGTCTCTCAATCTGTTGACTTGCTAAGTGTAATGCTACCACTGCTAGATACTGAACGGTTTGCAAGTTAAGCAACACCTTCAATCAGATGTGAGTTCCCATTTGTTATCCTTCAGGAATTTCAGCTGTGTATATTATAGTAGTACTTCACCTCTTTGTATTTATTTTAGAGGGCTATACTAAAGAACATTATAAACTCAAGCATGTCTACGCTATATGAACTCCATATGCTGAAGCTTAATTTTAAATGCCATTAAAAAAGCACTTAACATTTACAGTAGATCAGTCTGGCTACTTTAGCAGCTTGGATGTAGTTCAGTATGTGAAATGATTGGGGGAAAAAAAACTTCAGAAGCTACAGGTTATTTTAAAAAAAACAACCCCGATGTCTATAGAATCCTTTACTGGTACATCTCAATAACTATCCAAAATCCTATTTTCTAATTTCTTCTTAAAGTCTACTTTTTCCTTCATTTCATTTTTAAGTGCAATTTTAAGACCTAATTTAAAAAAAAAAAAAAAAAAATCTTGGCCTTCGGCTTGGATTCCTTGTGTAATTTTTTTACCGTGTGAATTGGGCTGTGTATTCACAACCTGAAATGTCCTACTGTATTTATACTGGTGCTTACCTGTGTGAGGACAAGGTTAAGAGGAGTGCACCGTTTATGAATGAAAATCAAATATGGACATTGGTAAACCACCCCTGGTTAGTCCCAGCTAAATACATAATAAATATCTGGAACTTATGCATGGTGTTAAAAGAGTCAATTCAAATGAATCCTAACAGGGCCCATTTTGTTGCCTTCTCCCGGAGCAGTTACAAAATGGTGGCACAGACAGCAACTACCGCTCATCTCACAGGCCCAGATTGTTCAGCGGTCCCTAGCACTCGCCACTTTCCTTAGCCACAAATACAGCGATCCCTTTTATTGGCCTGAAGAAACTTGCTCATTAAAAAGAGAAAAGGGGGAGAAAAGAGAATTTAAAATACTGGGTCTATCCGAGGGTAGGGGAGGGTTCTCTATGCTGGGCCAAGCTATTAATTCAGACTAAACTCTCATTTAAGTTGCTAGGCATTTTGACAGAGTAATGACGTCAGGATTTGGCCCGCTGGTTGTGACGATGGTGCCTCAGGATATAGATATTTTCATCCACTCTGCCCATTTTTTTTTTTTTTTGCTAGTGCAAATGAGCCGTCCCGGCATGTTGATGTATTGGATTGTTCTGCCTTCTTGCTTAAAGACCGTGATGAGCCAGTTTGCGCCAGTAACTTGTTTTTATTAGCTGAGGAGAGGCTTGGTAATATGGAGCCAACAGAAAAGTTACTCATAAGATTGAAGATGCATGGTCCTGCAAACCCTTACTGCTTACTTGGTATTTAGTCCCATGGAAACCGATGGAAGTACTCACATGGATCAAAGTTACCCACACCAGCAAGGGTTGCAAGCTCCTACGCTGTGACTGTATGAATTAATTTCCCTGTCACATCTAGCTGTTGCTTGTTTTCACGCTGCAAATACTGCTCAGTAATGTAACATCTTGGGATGAGATTTTTCTGCTTGTGTAAATTGGCACAACTCCACTGGCTACAACAGCACTGCGCCAACTGACCCTCGCAGAGAATTTGAGTCAGACCCTCCATTCTTAAACAGTATTTACAGCATTCGATTAATGCACAGGAAAGTCAATGGAGCAGCATCTGTTTACATCAGCATAGACTTTGACCCTTAATCTGCCCCCCTCTGTTGGAGAGAGAAAACCTGGGGTCTCTGAGGCAGGGCTCCATGTTGGGTCAATATTGATTAGTAACACTTTTTTCCCCCTCCCATCTCATGTAAGGGTTCACCATAGTATTGTTGTTTATTATTTGTATTACTCTAGCACCTAGGAGCCCCCGTCATGGAACATGCCCCCCACTGTGCTAGGTGCTGCACAAACACAATCTCGCTGCCTAATGGTTGGATGTTCATAATTTCTGATCAAAATTCAGTGCCGGGGGAACTGTGTGTGTAACGTAGCTGAAGTCGACGTACTTAGATCTACTCACCGCGGTGTCTTCACTGCGGTGAGTCGACTGCTGCCACTCCCCCGTCGACTCCGCCTGCGCCTCTCATGCCAGTGGAGTACAGGAGTCGACGGGAGGGTGCTTGGGGGTCGATTTATCATGTCTAGACGAGACACGATAAATTGATCCCAGCTGGCTCGATCGCTATCCGCCGGGTAGTATAGACATACCCTTAGATAGTTCCTTTGCCTCTTTCAGACCCATAGTCGCTGTCAGCACTCGTGCTTTGTGTGCCCTCTGGAAGGCATTAAGCCAACCAGAGTCATTCCCTGATGATCCTGAGTAGCTTTTAAAATCAAATCAGCTAGTACCCCAGATTTTTAGGGTGAAAATCACCTTCATGCAGAGGGCCTGTACAAGGCCCAATGCACCAATGAATAAGGGTCTGCTCACTGCTCTGAGCATGCGTTGGGGATTAAATTCTGAAAATGGTCAATGCAAGTCCTGCGCCCCATGTAAGTCCCCCTTTTGCTCTGTTATCAGGAAGGGGAACTTAAGTGGCGCACAGACCTTGTGTTAGCTCTCCACAGGGATGAATGTCATTCAAATGCCTTAAGTGACACTTAAGTGGTACGTAGTCTTTGGGTGAATTTCACTTTAGACTTTCAGTGGAACCTCCTTTTGGGGCTCCTCTCTGCTGTTCTGTTAGTTTGTATTATGTGTTAAGTTATGTGCTAATGTATTAACCCTTTGCTTTTCATAAGGAGGATGTTTCCTAGCTACAAAATTAAGGTAACCGGGATGAACCCCAAGACCAAGTACATCTTGTTGATTGACATTGTCCCAGCTGATGATCACCGATACAAATTTTGTGACAACAAATGGTAAGAGACTATTTGGTTTTTTTCCTTGGGTTATCAAAAGACAGGTATTCATATCTGTGTCAACTGTTTGCAATAAGCACTGAGGAGATGGTCAATAAGGACCTTCATGGGGAGAAAATACCAGATACCAAAGTGCTCTTTAACCTAGCCATGAAAGGCAGAACAAGAATCAATGGCTGGAAGTTAAAGCCAGACAAATTCAAATTAGAAACAAACTACAAGTTTTTTAATAGTGAGGGCAATTAACCAGAGAACAAACTACTAAGGGAAATGGTGGAGTCTCCATCACTTGATGTTTTCAAATTAAGCCTGGATGCCTTTCTAGAGGACATGCTTTAGTCAGACACAAGTTTGGGGCCAATCCAGGGGTAACTGCATGAAACTCTATGGCCTGTGATATACAGTTTAGACTAGACGATGTAATTGTCCCTTCTGGCCTTAAAAAAATATGTATCTATGAGGCCTTAGATTTGCAGTGGGTTGAGTGTTGACTATTTCTTCTCTAATTATATTTGTTCTGTGGGAAAGAGCCACCAAGCCACCAGGTGAAGATCTGTGGGCAGACCAGATGAATCTTCCTCATTTATCCAAACGGGTGCGCCTTTTCTTGGCCTCACCTGCATATAGTCTCAGAAGAGCTGTTGATGGTGGCCATCTTGGATTTACGTCTTTTGAGCAAAAATACTTGTTGTCCCTCCGGAGATGTCAGTGTCTGTTGGAAATGAAATATATGTGCTTTAAAATAAAAAAATTAATAATAAACCCAGCACCATCAGAGAGTTTTTGAAGTGCCCGCTCTCCTTTCCTGTTGCCATTTTGGAAACACAGGAGCGGTAGGGATCTTGCAGTTCTTGTGGTGATAGGGACCCGTGGGAATTGAGGCCTATCCCAGATTGAAAGTCACAGCCCCTAGAGGTTGGATAGCTAAAATATGGGACTTCTTTGTGGTCTCAGAAAGAGGGAGGACAAGTGGAATTGGTCAGTCCAATGTAGCCCAGTTCTGGAGCCATTTTTATTCTCCTCCCCACCCCACCCCCACCTTTTATTCTCCAGATTTTTCCCCTTTGTCTCTCCTCTCACCCTCTCTCAATGACAGCAAGATCACTCAGCATGAAGCCAGGTTTACTATTTACTTTCCTGCCCATGGGAATCTCATGCATCTTGTCACCTGAAAATCTATCCTTGCTGAAAATATGCCGTGCCTTTCCCAGAACCCTCCTGCTTTCTTTGTGTGGAGCTTCATCTGTTCCACTAATTGTCGATGTTGCTTCTAAGTCAATGGCAAAACTCCCATTGACTTTGAAGGGAGTGATATCCCATACAAATGTAATCTACACGCACATTTTAGAGCATTGTTCTCGTTTTTTAATTGTCTTTTGAGCTAATGCTTGTTTCTGGAGTCCTTGTAGGATGGGAGTCGTAGTCACTGGGAACCTTATGCAACCCAGGGCAAATTTTTTGCTTTAGCCATTAAGTCCTAGATGATGTTAACTCTTTTAATTTAACTTTGGCCAGTCACTAGAACTGTTTTCCCTTTCCATTTTTTATTGCTGTTGGAAAGGCTCTGCTGTTTTTAGTAATACTGCTTTTACTGATGTTTTATAGCAGAAGAACAATATACAGGAAGGGGAGAGTTGCTGTCACATGCTGTATTAGAGCATTAAATCCATGAACAGTAACAGAGCTTTTGACGTGTGAACAAAGGTGGCTGGCAGGGGGAATGTGAGGACAAATCCGTGTCCCAGCTGCAGCCTGAGAACTGGGCTTCCGCAGGGGCTGGCGGGGAAGGAGTCCCTTCCCAAGAGCTTCTACCAAGCTGGCATTGCAGCCTTAGGAGCTACAGTAGCCTCTGGTCTTCTTGCAGCCCTGCTACCTGGATCCAGCCCTGGACTTGCCCCCTGCACTTTCCCCAAATGCCTTCCTCCTCCCAAGGCTGAAGGGAGTCCCCCCCAGAGTGATGTTGGATCCTGCCTCTGCACAGTGGAGCCATACGGTTTCCCCCATGCTCAGGGACCTCTGAGTGTAAAGACAGGACTTGCCCATAGCCAGTTCTCATACAGCTGCCGTGTACTCACTCATACAATATTATGTGTCCAGGGAAAACCCTGCCCAGGCAATGAGAACTGCAAAAACAAGAAAAGAGGCCTGTGTTCCTTGCCCCGCTTTTTGCTTCATCCTTCCCAGATCCATGAAGCAGCAGCAGCAGCATCCTACATTTCTTGTGTTTCTCCACCAGGCCAACCTGTCTGGGCCAAATCCATCTTAGAATACAGACGGTAGCTCAGGATTTGTAAGATGGTTACCATGTTCAGTTAGGCACTGAATTGTTCTGAAGTACTAATTGGCCAGGAAGATGTAATCCATAAGTGCCTTGTTCACAGGATGGTGGCTGGGAAAGCGGAGCCCGCAATGCCTGGGCGGTTATATGTTCATCCGGACTCGCCCGCCACGGGAGCTCACTGGATGCGGCAGCTGGTGTCGTTTCAGAAGCTAAAGCTCACTAACAATCACCTCGATCCGTTCGGACACGTAAGTTTCTGGAAATGTTATTGCCAGAGGTGGGCACAAGCCCCGGTTTGCATCTGAGTCTGAACTTCCTCAGATTTCAAGCCAGCTTGGCTCTGGGGCTCCACTTAGGAATGGCCTCTAATTAATTAACTTTTTTTATAATTATTAGTAGCATTTCTTTTATTCTGTTATGTAATTGAGAATGAAGATGTTTTAATGATACACGATCCAGCACTCACCGCTAACCGCTTTAGTGCTGTTGCATTGGCCTCTTGAAGTGCCATGTGTGACTTGTTCAGTTATTCATCTGCGTAGTGCTATTGAGCTTCTACTCTCTGCGATGGAATTTTCAAGTCAGTGTTTTCAGATGTTTCAGCCAAAGCCTTTGATGCATAGGGCATGCAGAGCATTCAGAAACAGGTTACATAAGCTCGTCATTTTCCCAGCTGGCTTCGGCACTCCTATAAAAGATGGAGTATTTTATTTGGAAACTCTTAATTCCTGTGTATTGCAGATGTAGGACTGGGAAGTTCACCGTTATCGACCACGATACGTTTAATAGCTTAGAACACTGGCCTTTCCAGACTGCCAGCCGTGTGTGCGCCCGCGTAGGTAAATACAGCATCCTGACCAGTCTAGTTTTCGCTTTGCAAGTTGAAGGTCATGTATAAATAAACAACAGTGACTAGAAAAAGTAAGGTTAGATTTTGAGGATTTGTAGAATTCTTTTAATTTTAGTGGTCTCAAGCACTTAGTAACACAGGTCAGAGCATTGGCTTTGCAGAACAACATATGATTTTTACCGGCTGCTCCTTGAAATACCCCTGGTGTTGGGAGGGGCAGCGTGGGGGATGCTGATAGGATTGCAAAGTGAAGGGGAAGTGGGCCTGTCTTGCTCAAACTAAGCATGTAGCCATATGCTAATAGTCAGATCTTCAGCTGGGGTAAGATGTCATCGCTCCACAATCATGAGCTATGCACAATGTTAATTGTCCAAACTACATCACACAAGGATCTTCCCCGAAGGGTTCAATCCTGGCCCCATGGCATAACTCTGTTCCCATTTAAATCCATAAGGGTTTTGCCATTAATGTCAATGGGAGCAGAGGCTAATGCTTTGCATTTCAGAGCATCTTATAGTGAGTAAAGAACAAACAAACAGCCCCCACTCCAAAATCAAGTGCTCTTATTAATATATTTGTCCTGAAATATACAAAAGTTACAACTCATTTGGAGAGAGAAATTATTTTTAAACATACTGATCTGGGGGTCTTTCCCAAAGCCCGATGAAGTCAATAGCAGCCTTTCCAATGACTACAGTGCATTTGGATCAGTTCTATGGCACACAAGGTTTCAACAGAACCTAACAAAGCTCTTTGCGAAATCAAATTTTGCACATTCTCCCTGACTGGCTTGAGCAGAAATAAGGGCTGCTGATGGGACACTCTGCACAGGGAGATTGTATAAGTCAAATAGAAACACAATAAAATTCTAAAACAAACAAAACCCTGAATAAGCAAATCCACTTTGCAATAACATAGGGAAAGCAGAATGCTGTAAGTCCCCAAAATAGTGCAGATCCGGTCATTTGAGGGTCTGTCCAAAATTTTTGATGCCTTTGATGACTTTATGCAAATTCTAAACTATCTTCCCGTTTCTAAATGTCAATGTTGCAAAGATCCCAGTCATCACAATGTGATGCCTTGATAACCCAGCTTTACAGAAAACAGTCAAGCAAAGTTGGGAACTTGACCCCCTTCTCCAACCTATTGACCCCAATGAAATGTGTGTGAACTTCAAAGACTAATCAGGACCATTTAAATGCTTACATTATTAAGTGCAGGCTTCCTCCCCCCCACCCCCCTACACTCTCTTCTTTAGGGAAAAAACACCATGGAAATTAAATGCAAGCAATTACGCTAAAGATTGCATGGCGAAAAATTTCCTCTTCAGAAAATGCCAAAGTTAAGGTCTCAGTGGCAGCAGTAACTTGCCTGCTTTGCACACATCCCATTTTTTTCTCCCAACCCCCGGGTAACTGTGCATCTTAATATATTACTGTTTATGTTGTAAAATGTATACTGTAAAACTTACAGGACGTTCAATGCGGTCATAAAAAAACCCAGGATATCTAGTGTTACTGTTGGAACGTTCAGCATCTGCTTTTCCTGGCTTTTTTTTTTTTGGTAATTTTAACTGTGCAATTTGAACACTGTATTTAACAGACTGAGTGGTAGTTTTTTGCTTTTTTCCCCATTTATTAAACATTTTGTTTGTCACTCCGAGAACACATTCAGATTATGACGGGGACTCTGTTTAGATTCTCTGGGTCAGATCCTCAGCTAGCGTATGTCGTTGTAGTGCCATTGACTATAATCACGATCAACACTAACTCAGGATTTGGCCCTCTCTCCTCATGTAATCTGTCCTCTAAGACTGCCCTTTTATCTACGATTTTAGTACAGTGTATGCTAAAGAAAAATGCCTGGAGTAAAATTTTCAAAGGTGCCTAGGTCCCATTTTCAAAAGCCTCTAAATCCAAGTGGGACTTAGGCACTTAAGAACTTAAATCACTTTTGAAAATAGGATTTAGGTGCTTTAGAAATTTTTAATTTTTTTTTATATGCATATGAAGGAAGGCAGGACCATGTACTGGGTTAGTCAGACTTTTCCTAGCAATGCAGGATATTTCATTGCGTCTGTTACACCTTCACTGACACTTCATAGGGCTTGTCTACACCAGGAGCTATTCTGAAATAACAACGAGGAGTCCTTGTGGCACCTTAGAGACTAACAAATTTATTTGGGCATAAGCTTTCGTGGGCTACAGTCCACTTCATCAGATGCATGGAGTGGAAAATACAGGAGCCGGTATAAATACATGAAAGGATGGGAGTTGCCTTACCAAGTGTGAGGTCAGTCTAACGAGACAATTCAATTGACAGCAGGATACCAAGGGAGGAAAAATAGCGATTCCTGATTTAACCCTTCCTGATTAACTCCATGTGTGAGCGCTCCTATTCCAGAATAAAAGTGCTTTCTTCCAAATTAACTGAATCAGGTTAATCTGCTTTGAATTCACACCCTACTTTATTCCAGATTGATTGGTACAGCTATAGACCAACCTTTAGAACATAAGCTCTTCGGGGCAGAGGCAGTGACTTTGTAGGTGTTTGTACAGTCCCTAGCACAACATAGGCGCCAGTTTTGACTGGGGTCAAGGGATACTACGGCTATGCAGATACTACTAAATTAATAATAATCGCTTTTAATTTCTAGGACTTTGCTCTCAAAGTCTTCACAAACTATCTCGTAATGCTCCCTAAAAACAGATCATCAAACCCACACTGCTTGTTTGCCTTCTATTCCTGCTCTCTAAGGCGAGCCTGCCATTGCCTTTTGTCTTTGATTTTCCTAAAACCTCAAAACCACTGCGGGTCTGTTTCCTCATGCTGCAGTTACTTTCTTTTGTGGTGCACAGAGTGACCCAGAAAGAGGCCTCAACAGCAGCCCGCTCTGGCCCTGTTAGTTCAAGGGAAACGGCTCGTGCCAACCCGGTGTGTAAACGCAGGGTTTGATACCAGCCCACCCAATCTCCGCACATGGAGAGTGAACTGTTAAGTGAGCGATCCTAAACGCACGGCCCGGTTTGCTGCAGAATCTCTGTCACAAGGCTAGTGTGCCCTGCCCTAATCTGCAGCTTGTGTGTGTGTGTGTGTGTGTGTAAGTAATCCCTTTATAACATGCTGTGACATGCAGAGCTCTCGTAGCAGACGTTGTCTGCAAGGAGGCTGTCTTCCTGCAAAATAGCTCTGCTTTGAACTACTCCATTTCTGCATTCACATTTTTTGGCAAACGCATCATTTGAAAAAATGTCCTTACATCTCCCCGTCTATTCACTTCACAGCGAAGTTTTGGGGGGTTGGTTTTTTTCAGGCTTAGCTCACGTACTCCTCTCACAAGCACATAGCGTTGCCAACCCTCCAGGATTGTCCTGGAGACTCCAGGAATTACAGATTAACCTGTCATTAAAGATTGTCATGTGATGAAACCTCCAGGAATACGTCCAACCACAATTGGCATCCCTACAAGCACAGTCTAGGAGTGCTTACCGCAGACACTTGTGAAGCACAAGAAATTGTTCGGCTCGCTCCCTGCTCCCATCCCCAGCCTCCATTTATAATTGTTTAGGAGACGTCCATCTTTGGGGGTTCAGTGTGCAGTGCATATCTGCTGATTTACTTTGAACATGGCTCTGCCTTGGCAGCTACACATCTGGTATCTTATTTAAAAATAAATAAATGAGTAGGCAAATCACTTACAGTCCCCTCACTGAATGCCTTAGTAAGTAAATCCAGGCTCTGATTCTCTGCACTCCAGTACCTGATTAAGGCCTTGATCTTGCAAATAACTTATGCATATATTTACCTTTACCCAGGAGTAGGCCCACTGAGTTCATAAAGCTAAGCGTGTGCAGGCCTGAGGCCTCATTAGGTAAATTAGTTAAACTGATTAATTTAATAAAAAGACCTTGAAGCTTTGCAGACTTGAGCTCGCTCTCTGAACTCAGTGAGGTATGACTGACAATTACTTGAGTTAGTAAGGGATTGTGGGATCAGGCCCTTAGACTATGCTCTGAAAATGGTCAGATTCTGACTATGAGCTATTAACAGACTGAACAACTGACCCCCTAAAACATTCACTGCTGTCTCTTTGGTGAAGACTCATAATCAAGTCGATAAATTATCAGCTGTTGTCAATTCTTTGGATTATGAATAGCGGCCGCAGTATACTAGGTGCTGTCCTGGCATAACAAGGGGCAGTTCCTGTCTGAAAGAATTCACGTTCTAAGGGCTTGTCTGCATGAGAAAGTTGCGCTGATCTAACTTAGACTGATGAAAACCCCTGTGTGGGGAGACTTATTTAATTTGGAGTGGTTTATTTCAGTTTAGCTTAAACTGACTCCTAATCTAAACCAAAAAAAGAGCCTGGTTTGAGCTGAAATAGGTATCCGCACAGGA